GGTGGGTGGGGGGGCAGCTGGGGACTTCATGCAGATGTGTCTTCTGAGGGAGCCAGAGGAGGGGGAAGGTCCGGGGAGGAACTGTCCTGTGTGTATGGGGCCTCCTCTCTGCTGCTGCCAGGGGCACCTTTCTGCTCATTCGGGGACCCCCGGGCAGGCAAGAGGATGTCCAGGAGAACAGGGCTGGGCCGGGGAGCAGCGGGGAGCGCCAGCGCCCCGGCCACTCAGTCGGATTCGGTGCCGTGTCTGACAGGTTCCTGCTGGAGTGGAGTGCCTGGGGCTCCCGGAGAGCCGGCCACGGGGCCCAGGGTGAGCACCTGTGACTGCATGACCTTGTGTTTGCTACCAGTGCCATTTCAGTCAGCTAACTGGAAACCTCCCCCTCTGGGGGGTCACAGAGGGGAAGGGGCTCTGTGCAGCTCACTGTTCATATCTCATCCTGCTTGGCCTTCTCTCGTCACCTTCCCCTCCTGGCTCCCCACCTCTGTGTGACATCACACCATCTCTGGACACCACTGCTCCATGTGACATCACTCATCCCATGTGACATCACCACCTTGTGACATCCTGACCTCGTGTGACATTATGCCCACCCTGTGCTGGGCCTCATGTCCTGGGCAGCCAAAGCTGTCTTTCATCACTGTAAGTAGCACCCACTGTGGAGCCGGGTAGGGGGAGCGGGAGGCAGCCTGGGGCTGCAAAGGGCCCCCTCAGCTCTCCCTTAAAGGGGTGCATTCATCCCGGGGCACCCCAACTCAGGATCTCCTCCAGTGTAAAGTCCCATGGCTTAGGGGTGGGGTGCAGCCCAGACCTCATCCCCCACAAGCACAGTCCGACCCGGGCGAGATGGAGCCCAGCCGTCTCCTCAGGGAGGACGTTGCAGTTCCCAGAGGAAAGGGGGATGCGGTCCAGTGGCTGCGGCCACATCAGGTGAGCGGCCACCAGGTCACCCTGCGGCACGAACAGTGCGGCCTCCAGCTCAGGGTTGCGGGGTGGCCGGCAGAGGCCTCATCTGATCACGGGGACACTCCTGGGATAATGCAATTCCCAAAGGTCTGACCACAAATCAAAGCCATGTCCTGTCAGCCAGTTGGGACTCTGACCACATTCCCAGGAAGATGAGGCTACCTGGTCTTTACCTGTAAAGGGACATGGACCGCTTCCACTCCCTGGGTGGCCCAGGCTCCTGTACCATGCAACACTGTCGCACCTTAGCAGGTTTTGCTCCACCCTTGCTTGCTATAGAGCCTTTCCCTGGTGTTCTGCGACTTCTCCACCGTTGGGGCTGCACCCCTTCTTTTGCTTCCTGATGGAAAAGCCACTCGCACTGCTGTCCCTGCAGGCCTGCTTCACTCCCCCTCTGCCTGCTCTCACCACTGGCCTGCTGGTGTGACCGCCGGCCCTCAGCTCACGTGGCCAACCCCTGCCATGTTTCCAGACTCCTTTTGGAAATCACACCCGGCAGTCTTCACAGGACCGCCCGAGACATTCAGTCACGGGGTGTTTGTGACAGGAACCAGGAACCATGTGTCACCACCCATCTAGAAACAGGTCCCTCCGCCCGGCGGCTCGGGAACAGGAGGGACAGAGCGCCCCTCTGTCCTCTGCCAGCATCTGTGCCGACAAGGCTGAGCGTGAGCTCCCTCATCCTGCCTGTCCAGAACTTCCCATCTCAGGCCGCTGTCCTGGGCTCCTTCCACCCGCCCAGCAGGCCTGGCCCGCCGGTCAGCCGTGTCCTCTGGGCTTAGAGTCCAAGGGCCTGGGCAGAGGGCAGCTGTGTGCCCTTGGGGAAGCCACTCGCCTATTGCTGTTGGCATGTGGCTCTTGTTATCCCTGCGATGACCTACCACACAAGGTGGCTCAGCTGACAGGGGGGACAGGCCAGCCTGAGCCAGCCCCCTGGGTGCGAGGCTCGTGCAACTGGGCCTGGAAGGAAAGGAGCCAGGCCCTGGGCCTCTGCAGGCTGCAGCCAGAGCACCCCTTCTCGAACCCCAGGGGCCGGAGAGCGGCGCTGCTCAGCAACACCCTTAGAGGTCAGTGTGGCCCTGGCTGACCCTCAGCAGGGCTGTACGGGGACATTTCTGGGTCTGGGGGTTGAGGAGACCTGTAACTCCCTGTTGACCTTTGTGTGACCCTGCCAAAGGTCATGTCTACACAATGGGGGAATGCGGCCTGTCCTGCCTATTTCACAGAGAGCTCTGAGAACAAAAGGAAAGGCGTGGAAAGTGGCGTTCAGAAAGAGGGGTACTGTAGCACCGAAACGACACTGCTATTTTGAACGAAAACAATGTCCCTCCGCCTGGGAGCTGGCCTTGTTTGCTTTTGCTCACCTCAGGAGCGAGCATGGCCGTCCAGAGCAGGAAGCCGGGACCTACTCTCCTGTGTGCTGAGTCCTTTCTGAATGACTCAAGTGCACCACAGACACGCACTGAGGGCCCCTGCCCAGCCGTCCCCCAGCCCCGCAGCCGGGCGCCGGCCCTCACTGCTCTGCTCTCACCAGCAGCAGGGACGGAGGGCACACCTGGGGCTTGCCCAGGCCCTGCACTCGCAGAGCGCCTCAGCTGGCTGAGGAGACGTCACCTGTCCATACTGAATTGGAAGGGTGGTGGGGTGAAGGGCTGAAGTCTCCCCGAGCCACCCCTGGGCACTCTGATCAGCTCTGCTTTCCTCTCAGACTCTGCACATCAACACTGAAGGAGCCTTTGAGAAGGTGCTCTCCCCCTCCCAGCCCAGCTTACAGTAGGGAAGCAGGCTTCCACAGGCGGGAAGTGGCTTTCGCCAGGTCATGAGACTAGTGTGTCAGTCACACACAACTGAACCCGAGGCACCCTGAGGCCCAGCCTGCTGCCCTGTCCACTGGGATCCACTCTACTACTTTGATTCTGTTCCTTTGCCTTCCCCTTTTCTCCCGCCCTACCCCTCCTTTACGTGTTCTGAGAGCTTTCTGACAAAGGAGCCATCTGCAAATGGACTAGGGCCTGGAGGTGTTGAAGCTGAGATCCCTCCAGGCATGACTCTGAAGGCCCTTCCTATTCGATGATGCGCTTTCTCCCATCGCACCTGTCTCCCCACAGCCCACAAGCACAGGAAGCAGGACATGCTGCAGCCCTGCGACACGGAGTACCCCGTGTTTGTGCACCAGAGGGCCATCCAGGAGGCCAACGGGATCATCGATTGTGGGGCCTGCCAGAAGTAAGACCTGAGGCAGCTCTTCCTGCCCCCAGCCTCGGGGCAGGGCTTGGTCACTCACGGGAGGGGGGAGGGGGGCGCGTCTGTAAATGGGGAGGAAGGCGAGGGTGCTCTAAGTGAAAGGGCACGCTCTCCCAGTCCCCTTAGTGAAGGAAACAGGCTGAGGCAGAGGGTGTGAGGGTGGAGGCCAGTTGGGGGCTAAGGAATGGTGGTCCTGAGGCCAGGTCCTTGTGAGCAAGTCATCTCCACGCCAGGCCCCAAAGCCATCCCAGACAGAAATGATCCCATGATTCAATGTCTATCTCACTCACTCCTGCATCGAAGCTCAGTGTCAGGGCCACACGAGCTGAACTCCATCGAGAGATCTTGGAAGGCAAGGGTAGATTTGAGGAAATGACAAGCCAGCTCCCCCTTAGAAATCTGTCTGTGCAGAGAAAGGGGAAAGCATAAGGATGTTCTGAGAAGTGCGTGGGCCCAGTCTAGACTCAGCCTTCCCCCATGGAGAGTCCATTAGATCCAACTCGCTCTGCCAGCCTGGCCTAGGGAGGCCTGAATGAAAGTTCCCTCCTGATGACCCCACCCCTGGCCTCAGGGGCCATGCTCCCTGGAACTTCTCTCCTGGAGGCTGAGATCCCTCCAGGCTGTCCCCTTGGTCAGCCTTGCCATTCACCAAGGGCTTCCCAGGATGTCCTTGAGAGACCCCAGACTTCGAGCGAATTCTTTCATAGTGTAGCGCCTCAGACTTTGGCGTCAGACAGTCAGGTTTCCATCTCTCACCCTTGTGTAATGCCAGTGGGATTTTAACTTTACCACAGCAGTTCTCTTGGGACTATTGTTATTTGTGCACTTAGCTCAAAGGCTTGTTGTAAGGATGAAGTAAATGCTATGATGCAAAGCCAAGACTTTAGGGTAGACAGACTTGAGTTTAAAAAGTGGCTCTGCTACTTCCTAGCTGTGTATCCTTGGGCAAGTTACTTAGCCAATTCTAGCCTCCATGTTCTCATCTACAAAAGGGAAATAATTTCATGTAGTGTGGTAAAGGTTATGTACGTGTGTGTGTTTGTGTGTGTGTGTGTATACAAAACCCGGAGGAAATGGTCAGTAAGGGGCAGCTGTTATGTAATACACCAGGCCTTGTGCATAATAGGCTCTCCATAACCCTTTACTCATTCCCTCTTCACAGGATTCCTGGGCAGTATGCAGGGGCACTGTGCCACCTCGTGGCCAAGGCTGAGCATTGCATCTTCCCCATATGGCCTGCCCCCACCACATTTAAGCAAGGAGAGCCACACATCCCTATTTGCTTGGTGCAGTCCTGATTTATACCTGTTGTCCTGCATATATTAATAATAACTTTAACTCTCATATATGTTCCAATTAAGACTTCCTCGCCTTCTCCAATCTGCTAGGAAAGGAGCATTTGCAAAGGCTTGTGGGTAAAATAAACCAATAGGACTGAGTCAGTTGCCCAGGGCTGTTCCTGTAACTGCCCTGATCTGACCTGCCTCATGACTCCATTTCTTCCCCTGCCACCCTAACTCTATACTAGAAGTTTGGGGGTTTTCCCCCCTAGAAGCCCTATGTCAAGCCTTCCATGGATTCCAGGGCCCTGCCTCTCTCTTTGCTGCAGGATATTTGTGATGCAACAGATTCCCAATAGTAACCTTCTCCTCCTGGTGACAGACCCCACCTGTGACTGTAGCATCTTCCCACCAGTCCTTCAGGAGGCTACAGAAGTCAAATATATCCTTCTGATCTGCCAGGATGTGCGGAGTGAGAGAGGGGTAGTGGTGCAGGAGAGATTGAGGGGCTTAGATTTTGAGGCTGAGGCCAGTCTCCCTCACCACTACCATCCCACTCTCCCACACAGAGCATCATTATTGGTTCTCCAAACCTTCCCCCAGGCCCCTGGGTACTGCCTCCTGACCCTGGAAGCCACTTGTAAGGCAGTTGGTCCTACCAGGGGCAGGCTCTTCCAGAACTGAGTCTCCAGAATCAGCTCTTGTCATGAGGCGTTTGCCTTGACAGTGACTCCTGCACATAATGCCTCTATCAAGTGTGACAGGATGCGCTCCCAGAAGCTCCGCCGGCGACCAGATTCCTGTCATGCCTTCCACCCAGAGGTGGGCTGGAGGGGGTTTAGGGGTGGGGCTTGGACTTCATCCCCAAATTCTCAGCGCTGTGGCTGTGCCTGCACATGGAAGACATGAGTGCATCTGGACACAGGATGCAATTGCACGTGGAAACCTTCAGACACGTGCAGCAAATACTAAGTCAACCAGGATCCGAGGGGCCTTCTACAAATAGAGCCACACAGTTCCCAGGGTTTGGGCCCTCAGTGAATCAAAACACAGCATCCCCATATTGTCCTCATTGCTGCTGCACTTAGCTGCAAATGACCTAAGCAAACAGGAAATCATTATGTGCAAAACACTAATGGTGACCAACATGTATTGAGCACCCGCCCTGTGGCAGGCCCTGAGCTGGGTGCTTATACTCAGTATTGTCTTTGCTGGAAATGGCTGCCACAAATAATCCACATCAAAGATGCTCCCAGAGTCAATGGCTTCCCTGAAGTCATTCTAAGAGGATGACCCCGCAGCCACTCCAAGAGGGGGCAAGCAGAGAATTCTTGAGCCCAGTTCTGGGGCTGAGTGTACAGCCTCTACTTCCCCCTAAAAGGTAGGGGGTCTGAGAGAGGGGACAGTGCTTCCTCCACTTTCAGAAACCCCCCCCTTTCCCCAGGCTTTTGGATCCTATTAGTCCAGAGACCCCTGCCCTACTTCCTGCCTCCTCTGGCTGGTAGGTCATCGTGAATGCTGCCCTTTCATCTCTGCTCTGCGTTCCAGGAGAATGCCCAGGACTGTGGCGGCACCTCAGAAACCTGCGCCTCGCTCCCCCTGCTCCTGCTGCCTCTGTGTGCCTGGCTGCTGCCACCCCAGCTGCTGTGGTGACACCCACCCAGTCTGACCTCTGTTTTGACAAGGTAGTCCTTCCAGAGACATTTTAAGGAGTCAGCAACTGACGGGGAACCCAGCTCACTACAGCTGGGTTATCACCCAGGTCAATGCTTATCTCAATGACCCTGCCTCCTGAAATTGCTGGGTGGAACCAGAAACCACTTCCCCAAGACCTTCCAGGGTGCCTGCAACCACCCAGCCCACCTCGAGGGGCATTCTACCATCCTTCCTGCCTCCTCTTCAGGAGCCTAGCACGAGCTCAACTTGGACCAAGACAAAAGGATTTCATTCCATCTATTCTCCAGAAGTCCAGACCCAGCCAAAAATAGGGTCAGCTGTTCTAATGAACCTGGCTGGTCTTCAGTAGAACCAAGGACTTAAAGATACTGAGAAAGAGAGGCAGAATGAGACCAACAATAGCAACAGCTGAAATGAGACAAGGGCAAGAACAATCCCCACAGGAAACATAGCTGCCTCAAAGTGAGATGCACGGTGGGGGCAGCTCAATTTCCTTCTGCTGCTCAAAAAATTCTAACTCTGTGAGAGAGAGAGAGAGAGAGAGAGAGAGAGAGAGAGAGAGAGAGAGAGAAGAGAAGGGAAGGAAATAGTAATGGAAAAGACCCCAAATCCTTTTATCCAACATAGCTGCATGTGATGTCTGCAAACTATTGCTATTAAAAAAACTTCTAAAAACATCTTTGCAGTCCCACCAGTGTGGCTCAGTGGTTGAGTGTCAACCTATGAACCAGGAGGTCATGATTCGATTCCCAGTCTGGGCACATGCCTTGGTCGCAGGCCGATCCCCAGTAGGGGGCGTGCAGGAGGCAGCCAATCAATGATTCTCTCATCGTTGATGTTTCTCTCTCCCTCTCCCTTCCTCTCTGAAATCAATGAAAACATACATTTTTAAAAATCTTTGCAAAGCCCTGATGTAAAGGAACTTTTGCATCTAAGAAAAGCATGAGATGCCCAGCGGCCATGTTGGAAGATAATGGGGTTCAGCAGAGGCAGCAGGAGTGGCTGTAGTGGAACAAAGTCCCAAGGAAGAGCAGCCCTCACAGTGGCATGGGGAGGGTCTCCAGAGGGCTGGCTCCACACTCCCCAGGAGGTCCAGGCCCACTGATCTACAAAGAGACTACCTGGCTCTGTTCCTGGGGTTAGAACTTTGGGGAACATTTCAATTTGCCAGGCAGAGCCCACGGTAAGGGAGCTATGTTTGGGAATTCACTCTCCACATACACATTCCTCCAGTATCTTGAGGCCCTGGAATTCCTGCGGCCCGCCCTCTCAGACCTGGCTCCTAAGAGACAGCAATCTCCATTAAAGGCAGAACTGGGCAGGAATTCTGGAGTGACCTCAGATCTTTCCATTTAACCAACCTCCAATGAGAAGATCTAGCCACACACCATAGTCATAGGCAACGACAGCACACAGGGCCTTGGGGGGCCCTTCTCAGCCCTCCATTCTTCAAAGTACAAGTTTCCCACCAGTAATTGGCCCTCTTCTCTCTAAAGTAGGCCAACTCAATAAAACACATTCATTATATTTGTAAAATGCTTTATGCTATCAATTATACAACGTTACTTTCATTACCACTTAAGTCTCACAACAATCCTGTGAGGTGAGCATTAACAGCCTGTTTACAGTTGAAGAAATCGAACCTCAGAGAAGATAAGGGATTCACTTAGCTAGTTTAAGTGGCAGAATAATGGTAGGAATAGCTAAGGTTCATATGTACCAGATAAAAGCAGTTATTAACCCATTCAACCCTTGCAACATCCCTCTGAAGTAGGTCCTAGTATTAACTCCACATCATAGACCAGGAAACTGAAACACAGAGTTGAAAACTGACTCCAAATTATTAGAATATTGTGAGGTTTGAATGCCATATTCGTAATAATGTGCCTAGCTACTATTACCTTGTTTCATGGAGGGACAGAAAAATTACAGTTTGGATGCCAGGGACAGTAGGTAAAGGTCACAGTTGCCCACCTGGTGCCGGTGGGTGAGAAGCAGCAGGGAGCCCTTTTTCCAACCCAGTGGCTATCATGGCTCAGAGCTTCCCCATTACCATGTCTCAATGACCTCATTGTGATCAGCAGGGCAGCATGAGCACTTCCTAGCCACGGGCCATGGCCACCCACATGCCTTTCTTCAGCATTAGTCCTGGCCTCCAACAGCATCTGACCTCAACTACCGCCTCCCAGACACAGACTTCCAGTCTCTCTATAGGAAAATTCAGTGTTGTCTTTTGAAAGGCTTATCTTCCCCACCCAACCAGAGACAACATTTTTAGGCAAATCTAACAACTATTTTAGCCATATAATTTTAAAACCAAGCTTAGGAAGTGCTGTGGCAGATCCTGGCCTCATTTTGTCCACTTAAACCCCATGCCGTGCCTGGCCTGCAGTGGACTTTAAGATCTGGAAATCTCTTTCAGAACCAATGATCAAAAGACCATTTCTGATCAACTAGTTTGCTCCTTACCTGGAAGAACAGAACATTCTCTTGAGTTTGCCTTTCTTCAGAGGTCAGAACTACTGTTCCTCTTTCTACTGTTAACAAAATCACTAAAGGACAGCAGGTGGCAACCTGGCTCAAGCTAAAGAGCCATCACCTTTATTTCAGAGGGACAAAGTTCAAACCAAAGTCATTTAATAAATGACAAGAGTCTGGGGTACAGAATCTTTTTTTTTTTTAAGATTTAACTTTTTGTGTGTGTTAATCCTCACCTGAGGATATTTTTCCATTGATTTTTTAGGGAGAGTTGGAAGAGAGAGGGAAAGACAAAGAAATATCAATGTGAGAGAAACACATCAATTGGTTGCCTCCTGCACATGCCCTGACCAGGGCCCAGGCCAGGGAGAAGCCTGCAACCAAGGTACATGCCCTTGACCGGAATCGAACCCAGGGCCATTTGGCACACAGGCTGATGCTCTATCCACTGAGCCAAACCGGCTAGGGCTGGGGTACAGAATCTTGAAACCCTTTCCCTATAAATGCTGCACATCATTGGGGGACCCAGAATTCAAGGCTGCTGTGAGAGCCTCCTTCCTCAGTACAGAGATATATTAACTTCTAAATTCACTTAATAATTTTGTGTATTTTAATAGAAGTGCTTTCAGGTAAAATGCTTCTATAGTCACTTAATTGTGCTAAGTGAAGTTTTGGTTCAGGAGAGCAAAGGAGTGGACATATCTTAAAGTCAGAAAAGTAAATATGGGGGAGTCACAGACCACAAAAGGGAGAAATTAGAGCAAGAGTTTGGCAGAAACGCCAGCCCATCACAATGGGAAATTAGAGAAATGTTGATCCGTGAGAGCACTTCACAGAAAGATGCAAAGGATGTTAGAAACCCCATTTTAACAGGTGAGAAAACAGGGCTGGGGAAATGACTTCTCACCTGTCACCTGGCAAATGGCAGAGCTGCACTCTGAACCTACAGCTGTTTCTAGGTCAGTGTAGCTAGCAGGGGTGGTGGGTGAGCAGTAATGAGAGGCTTTCGTGTTCATGCAGCTGGACCCCTGCTTCCTTGGGTCCCTGAGCCCCCTCCATGCCATCACAAGCAGAAGTTACAAGAGCCAGGCTGACTTTGTTTCACCAAATCCAATAGTTGAAAACAGGAAATGTTTGCACATTAGGATACAGGGAGTGGCAGTCCATAGTTCATGCCCATGAGAATACAGAATGTGCTGTAACTGAAGCAAAATACTCAAGATGATATTATTTCTGGGGTAATTTTAAAGCAACAATGCCCAAAGGTTTCTCTAGACTACCCAGAGCCCTAGCAATCTATAGTCAAAATTCAAACTTGCCCTTATCTATTTGCTTTACACTATCCAGAGGATATTGAGGAGTATATACTAGTAGACAGCTTGGAAAAGGCTAAGAAAAAATGAAGTGAATTATTTGTAGGCTTCTCCTTGTTTTTCAAGAGCAGAATGCAATCCAGTGTTCTCTATGCAGATAATATGGAAAACCTTTAACATTTATCTATACCTTACAATGAAAACTCAGAGTGGACATATTATCCCAATACTGGAAATTCTCCTGCAAAACTAAATTTACCTAAGACAAAAGTTAAAAGTCTTCTTTAGTTACATACTAGTAAAAGGGTTAAAAATCCTCAAAACTTTTAAGTCAATATACATAAAACTGTCTAATCTGAATTTTCTTCTTAAAGAACACCGGCAGTCAGCCTTAGCTTTTCTGATTTAGTTTTTGCACCGATGTAATGTAAGCTGATCAGTTCAGAGGGTTGTAGTTGGGTTATGTGACATAGCAAGAGTCCTTTGCATAACGTGTTCATTATATATTAGTTTCATAAACTTTAATAATTAAGGAGTTAGCCCTCTCCTCTATTCTAAACCTGGTCAAAGGTCAGAGTTCAATTCCCGGTCAGGACACATGCCCAGGTTGCAGGCTCAATCCCCTGTAGGGGACATGCAAGAGGCAGCCGATGGATGATTCTCTCATCATTGATGTTTTTCTCTCTCTCTCTCTCTTCCCCCCTTCCTCTCTCTGCAATCAATAAAAACCTATTTTAAAAAATAAAATAAACTTGGTCAGAAAGGTTGAGAAGTGAGCTGGGTATGCGAATTTTGGCTTGTGAATTCAGATTAGAAAGTTTCTGAAAATTCCTTAAGCTTCAGTGTCGAAATTAACACTTCAAATCAGAAATGCCAAAAGCTCTGGGGTGGTAAGCTGAGACAGTGAAAAAAATACACAACAAAAGTTCATTTTCCACTTGGTTCCTTTTATTAGAAGTTGAGTATACAGCAAATAGGGAAATCCCATGGTGAATGAACCATCGAACAGATGCCTTTCTGAAACCCCAAACTTCTATGATCCCCAAAACATGTGCTTTGTGGCTTCAGCAATTTTTAAAGGGTAAGGAAAAAATACTGAAAAAGGCCACTATTTAATGGTGATAGTATGAAGCTGTAGAGGTCCTAATCAGCCTAGGGCCAAAAAAGAAAATTAAAAATCTGCACAGAGCAAGCAAGCCTCAGACTGCTGAGAGTAAGGCATTCAGGCGCCAACCTGGTGAGAGTTCTCAGCGAGCACTGTAAGACCAAGTGCAGTGAGGCTGTTGGTAGTCAGTTGCACAGACACACACTTATAAATGGGCACGCACACACCCACACACACCCTAAGGGGAGATTTTACTGGATTATACATCATTGATGTTAAATTTCATGTTTGCTAAGGGTTTGTGCTATGTTGAACCAGATTGGGCTCCTCTTTGGGGTGTGGGGTGACTGGGCCCAGAGACAGCTACCTCTGTTGGTGGTGTTTCAAGGCTGCATCTTACACCCCACACCTCAAAGAGCATGACCGAAGAGCAAGTCTGGCTTCTGATATGTGCTGTTGCTTCCATGGAGCTAAGTGAGCTTCCTTCCACATGGAACTGCTCTGCTGGACTGTCCCCTCAGAGGGAGTAATACTGCTCTTTATTCTGTCAGGCACTGAACTGGTTCACCCACTGAGTCTTTTGCTGGGTCCACCTAGCAACCAGGGTAGTGACCTTATCCAGAACCAAAATACT